GTGCAAAAACTCGAACGACAGATAAAATATGTAAGGGATGGAAAGTTGTAGATAAGAGAGTTAGGAATTATAAAGCAAAAAATCCAGAAAAAGAGCTGGAATCTAAAGGAATACAAGTAGGAAAAGACGACATTAAAAAAGAACAAAACAAAAGGAAATTGAAAATCGAGGAAAAAATAAAAAATGTTCTACAGAAAATGAAGATTTTAATAGTCTTGAAGAAATTTTAGACGTAAAATGGCCTCAGGATGTAATACTAAAATGGAAGAAGCAAGTCAAAATACTCTACTCTTCTTCCAGGGGCATAAGTCAATGGATATAATAAACGAATCCTTAAATAACGAGATAAACCTACTAGATGAGGCTTTGTACTTTCTATAGAAAAAACAAATTCAATACATTTTTGCAGGCTGAGACTAAATCACGCAAACCCAGAACTATATTTGCAAGAATACCTAGTACCTGTAGAAAGCTCGTTTAAATTCCTAGGACTTGTGTTTGATAGTAAATTATACTAGACAGATCAAATAAATCAGCTTGAGTCAAAATGTAAAGAAAGCCCCGAATATTATAAAGTGTACGGCAAGTATTAAATGGGGAACAGATAGGAAGGTATTGCTTAGACTGCCAATCTGTCGTTCAAGGTAGACTCGATTACGAGGCAATCGTATATAACTCCTGTAGACTCTCGAGACTTAAAATGTTGAACAAAATTCAATATTCAGCTTTAAGGCTTGCGACAGGCGCTTTTAGAACAAGCTCCGTAGCGGCAATACAATGCGATGCATCAACTAGATCTAAGAAGAGATGCCCAAACGATGACATATGCTTACAAAATTCTTTCCTTGTGAACTCACCTTAATTTCTCTACTTTTCTGACAGACTATGAATATGCTACCAGACCAATAACATCACATCCTACTCGAATCCACAACACCGAGGCACTCGGAAAACATAACTTCGAACAGATAACAATTTTACACGAGCCATTAACATCTGTTCCACCCTGGAATATCATCCTTCCAAACATAAACTTAAACTTATCGATCTTAAAAAGAGACGAAACGGCCGCATTAATGTACAGGTTACTCTTCATGAAAGAATTGGAAATCCAGATGAACAGCTTGATCATTTACACAGACGGTTCCAAAACAAAGGATGGAGTTGGCTCTGCCATTGTCGTAGATGGCTCTGAATATAGCTGGACACTAAATAATTACTGCTCAATATTCACAGCAGAATTGTATGCTATTTGGCAAATCCTTTGTTTTTTCACTATGTCCCAGTCCCAAAGCTGCCTTATTTTTGGACTCCTTAAGAACCATTTAATCATTGAAAAATCCATTTACAGGAAACCCTTGTAGCCAGACAATTTTAGAAATAATTACTCACCTTACATCGATAGGAATAAGACCTACTATTATGTGGATCTCGGGTCACTGTCAAATTAGAGGTAACGAAATTGCAGATGGAGCTGCGAAAAACGCTACAGCAGAAGAAGTAGATGCAGGTGTTCCAGTCCCATTCTTAGATTTCAGGTCCAATATAAAAAAAAATCAAAATGTCATGGCTTGATCGCTAAAGAGTTTATGGTGGCCAAATGAGTTATATAAAACCCACTGTTGATAAATGGGTTTACCCAGAACAACTAAGTAGAAAGGAACAAGTGGTAATTTGTAGACTAAGAATCGGGCATACATTCTTTATCCACTCATACCTTCTAGTTGGGGACCCGAGACCAAGATGTGAACATTGCAACGCCCGCCTATTTGTCGAACATTTTTTCACTTGCCCTGCTTATCAACAAGATAGAATTTCTGGAGGAATTGAACATAGAACACAAAATATGTTAACAAATGTGCAATTTGTCAAAAAACACTTACCTACATGCGAGTAATAAACATGTTTAATAAAATTTAAAAACTAACTATTAAAGCAAGCAGCTAATGATCATATTAATCGATGTTGCATAATTAAAAAAAAATAATAAATAATAATAATAATAATAATAATAATAATAATAATAATAATAATAATAATAATAATAATAATAATAATAATATTAATAATAATAATAATAATAATAATAATAATAATAATAATAATAATAATAATAATAATAATAATAATAATAATAATAATAATAATAATAATAATAATAATAATAATAATAATAATAATAATAATAATAATAATAATAATAATAATAATAATAATAATAATAATAATAATAATAATAATAATAATAATAATAATAATAATAATAATAATAATAATAATAATAATAATAATAATAATAATAATAATAATAATAATAATAATAATAATAATAATAATAATAATAATAATAATAATAATAATAATAATAATAATAATAATAATAATAATAATAATAATAATAATAATAATAATAATAATAATAATAATAATAATAATAATAATAATAATAATAATAATAATAATAATAATAATAATAATAATAATAATAATAATAATAATAATAATAATAATAATAATAATAATAATAATAATAATAATAATAATAATAATAATAATAATAATAATAATAATAATAATAATAATAATAATAATAATAATAATAATAATAATAATAATAATAATAATAATAATAATAATAATAATAATAATAATAATAATAATAATAATAATAATAATAATAATAATAATAATAATAATAATAATAATAATAATAATAATAATAATAATAATAATAATAATAATAATAATAATAATAATAATAATAATAATAATAATAATAATAATAATAATAATAATAATAATAATAATAATAATAATAATAATAATAATAATAATAATAATAATAATAATAATAATAATAATAATAATAATAATAATAATAATAATAATAATAATAATAATAATAATAATAATAATAATAATAATAATAATAATAATAATAATAATAATAATAATAATAATAATAATAATAATAATAATAATAATAATAATAATAATAATAATAATAATAATAATAATAATAATAATAATAATAATAATAAAAATATTATTAATATTATTATTAATAGGAGGTGGGGTGGCTCAGTGGTAGAGTCTCTGTCTGCGGATCCAAAGATCCCGGGTTCGAATCGCACCGTTGGCCGGGATTTTTTAATTTAATTTAATTATTTAAAATTAATTCTGATGCCTTGGTAGGATTCCCCACTCGACCATTCACTGTTGGGTTTTAATTAACAGTGCATTTCCTAAAGTGGCGCTGGAAAATAGTTACAAAGCCTACACTGAACACGGTCTAATGATCTAAGTAGTTGATGCCGATGACACCAAATTAAAAAAAAAACAATAACGTTTAACGTCTATCATAAAATAATATAAATAATAATAATAATAATAATAATAATAATAATAATAATAATAATAATAATAATAATAATAATAATAATAATAATAATAATAATAATAATAATAATAATAATAATAATAATAATAATAATAATAATAATAATAATAATAATAATAATAATAATAATAATAATATTAATAATAATAATGGGTTACATTATTATTATACAGTATGGTTCAAATGAAAGGAATAAATTCATTATAATGGAAGTAGTTGGTTTTTCGAAAAAATGCTCGGACAGGTCAATTTTGTTTACTTAAAGCGCAATTTTTTAAATAAAATTTAATTTTCCCCCACTTCCCATTTTTGAGCAGTGACGTCATTGACAATTTTTTTAAATAGCGACCCCAATTTTTTTTTTTATTTTGATAGATCTTGAAATTTCATACTCGGAAACATAATATTTGAAATATCTGACAACGATTTTTTTTGAAAAAAAGTCATTTAAAGATCAGATACATAAATTTTATGTTATTTTGAAACACAATAAATTAATAAAAGATAATTATTTGTAATTAAGTGCTTAATCTAAAAAAAAAAAAATAACAATAATAAAAAGAATTTAATGACAATTTCACAAATTCTTTTTATTATTATTTTTATTATTATTTTGTTAGATTAGGCATTTAATTACAAATAATTATCTTTTACTTATTTATTGTGTTCTCAAAATAAAATAAAATTTGTGTGTCTGATCTTTAAATGTCTTCTATTAAAAAAAAAATTGTTTTGTAAGATATTTCAAATATTATGTTTCCGAGTAGGAAATTGCAAGATCTATCAAAATCAAGAAAAAAAAATTGAGGTTACCATTTAAAAAATTTGTCAATGACATCACTGCCCAAAAATGGGAAGTGGGGGAAAATAAAATTCTATTTAAAAAATTGCGCTTTGAGTAAACAAAATTGACCTGTCCGAGCATTTTTTCGAAAAACCAGCTACTTCCATTATAATGAATTTATTCCTTTCATTTGAACCATACTGTATATGGAGGATTCATAGTTACACATTTTTGGGACCTTTATTTGTGTTACTGACGTTAATACTCAATTTTTGTCCAATATTTACAACACGTTTTAAAATTGTTTTTGTTGGACATATATGTATCGACTTCCTTAGGGACGTCACAGCGTAATGTTGGGAGGTACCGTACACACCCGCCCCCCAAATTTCCAAATTCACGTGATCTTTGTCCAACAAATAATATAAAAACCTTCGATTAACAATAAAACTGCACGTACATGTATAAACTTCCTTAGGGACTCCACAGCGACGTGTTAAGGGCGTCAAACCTCCAAAGCCACGTGATTTTTGTCCGAAAATTGTGATATCGTTAATGTAATATAAAAAACCGTTGATTTACATTAAAAGTACAGGTACATATATCAACTTCCTAAGAGACATCAGAACGACAAGAGCTAACGCGAAAATGTCATATCGCCCAGGATGAAGTATATTAAAAAAATTGTCCGACTTGGTTTTATGAAGCCGCTCAGGAAGTTTGGCATGTACAGGAGTCACAAAATCCAAAATTTGATGTACTGGGGACTATAATGCTTGATCAAAACTGTTTCCATTTTACTAATTAAAAACTCACTTGTTCAAAAAATCCATAGAAATAATATCCAAAGGTTCAATATATTTTTTAGCAGTAAGCGGAGGTAATAAGAACTGTTGCACTTGTTTTCTGAAAGCTTCCCATTTGGGTCCATGCCTGAAATAAAAAAATCATGACATAAAAATTAAAATCTTGGTACATTTTCAAAAAAATATTTTTATAATTATGACAAATGTTTCAATATGAATTGACGCACATAAAAGTATTGTAATAATGATCAGCAGATGAGTGCCTGCTGAGTGCATCTCCGGGTGATGAATAGGAGAAAGGCCAGCAGTACCAAGTAACCAGCCTTCTGATAATGCGGGGCTATTTCAGGAGTGACGAATATTTCTCTAGCTACTCGAGGGACTTTATATGGACAATAAGGGCAAAAAAAAATCGAAAGCTTTTAGGCGAAAGGTGTGGAGGCTCCGACAAAACGCTGATATAAGCGACCCCTCATAGCGGTAGGGACAGGGTGCGCATTCTATATATTTTCAATAGATGTGATGATGGCAGCAGGATCCAGTTCTGCCAGCACTGGGCGGACCATTATACCAGGGGAACAGGGGCAAGCATCCAATTCCGTTTCTACGGAGATGGGATGGAAGGCGACTCTCAAAGACCCAATGTACCTAGATGTGAATAACCTTTACGGCTGGGCAATGAGTGAGCCCATGCCCTACGAAGGTTTCGAGTGGGCGAATGCCAATAAATTTGGCTCTCCTAAAGGATACATTGATATGATGTCCATACCAGATAATGCATCTGAGGGCTATATTTTTCAAGTTGATTTAGAATATCCACGTGAATTGCATGATATACATAAATATTTTCTTTTTGCTGCCGAACACCGCATTCCGCCTGGCTCAAAATTACCCAAATTAATGACTACCCTTTATCGTAAAGAAAAATACATTATGCATTATAGAAATTTAAAATAAGCTTTAAATAACGGATTAAAATTAGTCAAAATACATAAACTGTTGCAGTTTAAACAATCAGCGTGGCTGAAACCCTAGATCGAGTCAAATACTCGAGTGAGGACGGAAGCTACAAATGACTTGAAAAAAACCTTTTTAAATTGATGAATATTGCGGTATTTGGTAAGACGATGGAGAACATAAGACGTCACAGAACGGTAAAGTTGATGAGTCAGTGAGAGAGACCTATGGAGCCCTAAAACTTGATTGCAAGTGTTTGGTTTCATAGTCGAACAATTTTAAATAAAAATCTCGTGACTATTGAACTAAAGAAAAGCAAGGTTGTATTTATTAAGCTTTTGTATATTGGCATGGCAATTTTAGAACTTTCTAAGGTATGCATGTATGATTTTCATTATAGCCACATGTTACCGAAAATGGGCACTGGTATAATGATGTTATTGGAGCAGATTTATCTAAATTTGATACTTCAGATTAGGCAGAAAACAATCCATATAACATACCGTGTGTAAATAAAAATGTAATTGGTTTAATGAAGGACGAGACAAAAGGGGGCAATAATTGACCATTTTGTGGGGCTAAGATCAAATATGTACACATACAAGTTGCAAATAATTAATGAGGATAAAGAAAAGGAAAAGTTGCGCCTAGAACATAAGCAAGTTAATGAAGACAAAATTAGTTGTAATTTAAAAAATTTAGGTGTAACAAAAAAACTAAAGGAGTAAAATATAATGTTGTAAAAAATAAAATTACATATGATGATTATAAAATAAAAGATTTCGAGGTGCAATCAGCAAGCCAACGATGTATTTGGTCATATTCACATAAAGTGTTTAGGATAGAGCAGAAAAAAAGTCCGCATGACGATAAACGGCATTTAAAACCGGGAACGTTTGGCACGCTTCCTTGGGGTCACTAAAGTATAATTTAATATTTTTTTATAGGATATGGAGAACAATAGATCTGTTGCTCCAGAATTACAGGTAGATTGTGTAGGTAAAATAGGTTTTAAAGTCCCTACGTTACAATCACTAGCAGAAAATCACATTTATTGGACTATTAGAGATGCTTGCAGAATAACCGTCATTGATGGAAAATTTAAAATGATTCGATAACTAATAGATTTAGAGATTTGGTATAGCAAAGTTAGTCTAACCTGTTATTTCATACTACCAGCACTATTAAAAGATGAATTGCCAACCTGTTGTATTAGAGAATTAAAAAAACAGAGTCAAAAATCATTGTTTAAGTGATATGCTGTTTTTAAATGCAGAACGTAAACGTACAATTCAGGCGCACACTCATTATATACAAAGTAATTAATGACTTTAATAAAAAGAAAAAACAAGAATATCTATCTCTTATCATCTCTCTGTAATTATATTGTATTTTGCTAATTTTTAGCTTTTGTAGCACACTTAACCTAATTTTTGTATATATCTTTAATAAAAAAGTATGAAATCAAATCTCGTGTCGTTTTTTTTCAATGATTTTATAGTTTTTGCCGTTTTTTAACGTTTTTGTCGTTTTTTGACGTTTTCGTCGTTTTTAACGTAAAAGCGTCGTTTTTCGTCGTTTTCGTCCTTTTTTACGTAAAAGCGTCGTTTTTCGCTGTTTTCGTCCTTTTTTACATAGAAGCGTTATTTTTACATGAAAAATGCTGTTTCAGAACGCCTCGCTCTGTGATGGTTCATTATTTATATGTTTATATGTAAGAGGTTCATCACGTCCACTTGTGACAGGAAAAAGCTCAAGTTGTGCTTGGTAACTTTGATAAATTTCGTGCTATCGTAGATTACTTGTCGGAGCTTGCAGAAGGCACCACACTTGAGTTCCACATCGTCAGGACGGTCCACAATCTCGTTGAAAAAAATTGCTATCTCGAAGATAGATAATTAATTGTTCCCACTCATATGAGCTAAAAGATATGTTTTCCCACTGGTCTTTGTGAAGCTGGAGTAAATGATCGTGATTGACTTAGACCACACACAATTTGACAGATATCATGTGGAAATTGCGTGTAGAGCAAATAATACTCTTCGTTTTTAGATGCTTCTTCGTACCTCTCAAAGAGATAATCTATTTCATGATCGTAGTCTTCAGACACTATCGATGGTGATAACGGTTCCGGTGTTGATGGAGTTATGGGAACATCAAACTCACTATCTTCAGAATCATAACCATTATCTTAAGATTATATTGTGTGAAAAACTAGGAGAACTGATTGCTGTACAACAACTGAGACTCAGGTACTTGAGTTTCCTTAATTTATATCTTCGTACCCCCACTATTCATGAAGCACTACGATTAAATGGGTTTGATATTAAACGACATCATCATTCTCAATCCAACTATTATATTTGTTATCAAAACCAAGCCATTTAACGTACATTTTAGTACCTTTTCGACGCAACACTTTTTCCACCAAATAAACGTCGGGATTTGCAGTATTCTGTAATTCCTCATCGTAAAAAGCTCCTTTGATTGGTGAACCATACATATCTTCAAGCATATACTTTAAATAATTTAGTTGTCTAGCTGGGGACGTATCCTTTCTGAAAAAGCATTTTTGCGCGATTGATACGTACAGTGTCACCAACTTTAAATTTTCGTGGGCCAGCAATTTTCAGATGTGAATATTTTCGATTCAAAATATATTTTTCGTTGGATCTATTTACTTGTGAAGGCCGACATCCGATGGTTTGATGACGTGTTTCATTATATACGGAAGTAATGTGGGTAATATATCAATCCATTTATATGAGCCTTTTAAACTAAAGTATTTGTAAAGTTTATTTGTCAGCGTTTTTATGACTCTCTCAGCAATAGCAGCTTTTCTGGTGCTGTACGTACTATAATGATTATTATTATATTGCTTCATTAAACTTTGAAATTTGCTGTTGTAAAATTCCGTTCCCTGATCGGATTGTAGATTTTTCGGCGTACGTTTAGTGTGTGCGAGAATATCTGAAAATGTACAAGTAAGCTCCTCTCCCGTCTTTGTCTTTAATGGTTGAGTCCACATACACTTTGAAAACTAAAATTAATTTAAAATTTTTATTTTGATGAGCGTAAGGACGCATTTTAGCCAAATCCATTTGCCATAAATTGTCCAAGCCTTTAATAATGATGCGACTAGGATAATTTTTTCTAGCCGGTTTGTGCAGCTCGTTAACGAGTTGAATCTTCTATGTAGATACCATGGATTCGTTCTAGCACTTTAACTCTTTGAAGTAAAGATTATTAATAATTGTTAAATATAACGAATAAGTCTTGGTTTTCAAGTATTGCTGCAGATAGACATTCATCACATTTTTTATTTACAATGTGCTTAGCTGACATCTTCACTCAAAACGCCACATTTGCCTTTTAATGTTTCAACGCGTTTGACCATAGGATTTATACTGTTCTTAGTAACCCCGCCTAGTTCATCAGTTAAACGCTTATCAAGGTCATATACTTTCTTTGATACGGTTGATATTCTTCTTTCCAAAAGCGCCAATTGTGAAGATGCATCACAATTACTTGTCTGTATTGGAGTCAAGTCTATATGTTGTATGGCATATTTAATGTTATCCAATTCTACCTGCACAGTATCTATATTTTTAGCTGCATCAGTACTACTTTTCTTCATGTCTTTTCGAAGAAACGTTTTTGCATTTACAATAGCTTTACCTACACATTTTTTTGTTGCCGTGCAATAGAAGGGTCTCTCGATATAAACTAGTTATTGCTGGTAAGGTTTTAAATTCGATAACCGAAGTATTTATGTATTTCTTACAAGCAGCGTCCGAATCAGCTGTTAGTTCTTTTATGTTGCATAACTTTACGTTTTCAATATTTCCATCGGAAGTATGAGGAAGCGTTAATTTTAGAGGAATACGAGCATAGGGAGCTATTTTTTGTTTATCAAAGCGACGTCTGAATTTATCGAGACTCATTTTGCAAATGAAACTTTACCATATTATATTAGCTTCTTTTCTCTCATTAATAATAGCCGTTATCTCGTTTTGTTGGGACGTATTTCCCGCTTGTTTCGAAGCAACTAACAACTTTAATCTATCGACCAATTTATTCGGGTTGTCCCAATAGACGTATTCTATAGTTTTTTCATTATAAATTAACTCAAGATTTTGTGTTGACAATGATTTGACTTTTGATAATCCT